GGTGTATGATCATCACATTTGTACATATATGGGGAAAGAAAACAAAGCAAAGCTTGCTTACAGTAGCTAATGCTGTAGGTAGCTTTTCTATACCTGATCTTTACCCTTGATTTGTCAATCTGCTAAACAACCTTGAACAGGAATCAAAAGAAGACCATGCAGCAGGCAGTTAAAAGCACAAGGATACTTGCAACTACTTAAATGACTTTTATATGATGCAATCAATATTAAGGAAGTTGAATCTAAATCTGTGTCATCCATTTGCTCTTCAAATTGCAATGAAACATGTAAGCACATGATGTTGTAAAAATTGATAAGTTAACAGAGTAATATTCTCAAAGAGAAAGAAATCTAGCAATCCACCATCCCAATTTCTCTGCAAGCACAAAACAGAAGAGTTGCAATATGATTGGTTTTAGAAAGAAAAAAAAGAAGAAACTTTTTGTAGCAAAGCTCACATGTATTGGATGAAGAAAAATGCTGACACCAAAGATGTGAAGCCCACACCCATAAGTAACAGGCCTTGTCCATATCATGCATCCTTGTTTAGGTACTTGAGCAAATCATCTTAATAACTTCATTGAGATCCTCAAAACCCTTTCTGTGTCATCCTAAGTACAAATAAACACATAATCAAAAGTTTTTCTCACTTCATCTTCCACAGGTTGCAACTAATATGCTCATCTTTAACACCATCAGAAATATCCCATGGATACAGCTTTAACATTTGGCTAGCCTATCAGGATGCATGCTGATTTATTTGAAGCTTTAAAGGCATGCGAAGAAAAAACATGCAATTTTGACAAATCACTCTCAGTTTGCCTCTTACTTTCCTTCTCTTTTTCCTTTTAACATATATCAAAATCAACCCTGGGGCAGATCTAGTGACAAGATATGACTGGATCTTGTATGTCATTTATCAAAATTCTTATAGGCCAAATGATATGATGGTGCTTCAGCCTCTATAAAATAGCTTCAGCCAATAGGAGCCCTAAAAGTTTACAGAAAAAAAGTCAAAGATGGACAGAAGCATGAAGGCTTCAGCACGCTTGCTGGAATCCTTGTCCTATTGAATCCAAAAATCTAACTAAGATACTCATTAACCACAAGGTGGATATATCATTTACGCTCAAGTTTGATGCTCGATGTTGTGAGCATCAACATCTAAAATCTATCTAGTAGATATTCAGTTTTGGAGATTTTGAAGAAAAATACAAAGCTGCAGAATACATGTATATCTTTTTGACCAAGAATTACGAACATCCACTTGTTAATGATGACCAAAAGGAAATTAGTTTTGCTGCCTTCATCTGTAAATCCATGAGCTTGACTGGTAGGTCCATTCAGAAGAAAGAGACAAATCCTAACTAAAGAGAAGAACAAGTATGTTTCTAAAGCTACTCTTTAATTGACATTTGGATCTCATCCAGGCAACATGATGTTGGGAATGCTTGGCATAAATCCGAAACATCATCAAAGCAGAAGTGGAACAAATGCAAACCTGAGGAAGCAAAACAACTAGTAAGAAATACCAGTCTACTACTCCATATCATTTACAATCAAAAACAGAAACCTTTGGCTTCCCACAGAAAAACTAATCTGTGCCTTCGTCTTCTGTATCCTTTACATCATTTTGGATGCAGATAAGGTCGATGGACCAGTACGAGCATCTCTTGCTTCTTCTATGACCATTCTTTGTGAAATACCAGTTGAATCTTCCTCAACTGTGTCTCTATTTTTATTCACAGAGATAGACATGGCGGAGAGTACTTCAGAGCTATTTTGTAAAATGGATGTGTTGGACTTCTTGAGTTGTTCCTCCACCATTCTTCTCAAGTTGGAGTTATCTTCTTCTGAACTTCCCAACATAATCGTGGTATTTTGACCATGAACTGAGCTCCCACTAGGAGTTACATTCTCAATAAGCACAGAGTTAGTTTTTCCTTTGGTTTCATTGCTAGTGATACGTATTGGTGAATCAGTCTGCAACATTTTCACTTGATTATCAGATGAAATTGCTATCGTAGAGTTGGCCTGCAGCTTTGTTTGATTGTCAGCAGGAGAAAGCTCTTGCTCATTTTTTTCCAAAGCAGTCCCATTTATGATTAGACTATCATTCTGAATGGTACCATTGCCCATGGTGAATACAACAGAAACACTAGTACTGTTGTAATCCTTGGAATCATTATCCTTTCTGCCAGTAGTATTTTCAGTCTCCACATCCTTCTCATTGTTCATCAGTTGCTCCTCATCCACACTGTGAATTCTATCTTCTGTTCCCGTCACCTGGTTTTCTTGATGCGCAGAACCGGAAGCATCATCTCTTTTATTTCTTTCTTCGTGTGACTTCTGGGAAGAACCCTCCTTGGGTTCTTGGTCATCCATCAGCTCAGATACCTCAACTTGATCATCCCTGTTTTCCTCATTAAAAAACTCTTCTGCATCTTCAGCTTCCTCATCTGCTCTCTCTTGATCATCCTGCTCGTTGCCTTGCTCATTATCTTGCTCATTGATGTCATCATCTCCAACCCCTTCAGCTTCCTCATCGTCTATCTCATGCTGAGCTACTCCATCTTCTTCCTCCTCGACCTCTTCATTTTCTTCTTCCTTCATATGGCCTTTATCCCCAGAAACCATCATCTTCTCATGTGGGAGGTCCTTCCTACCAAGGTCTAAAATTTCCAGCTGGCCATCGACCACATTGTTCAATATCGTCGAGTCATGCTCATCCAATGACTTCTTCCTGTCATATGAGTGCTTCAGCTGATAAAGCAACCAGAAGCACACAGCAGCCAAGAGACAAATCTGAAGAACATATCTCACTTTTATCCGTTTGTTCCTTTGATTCCTACTAGATGCCTGCCTCATCATGGTGCTGATCTCCCAAAACAGCTCCCGGGAGTTCTATAGGCTGTCCAATTAAAGGATTGACCAACCACAAAGAGCTAAACACTTCAGTACCTGAGGAGTCACCCCCTGTATCTGAACCTAAATAAACCCAAAGAAAAATCAAGAACAAGAATCACCCAGGTCAATAGCTCCTGATACATCTCAAGCTAATTAATCTAACCTAGGAAAATCACCCTTTTTTTTTCCCTTGCAAAAGGAATATAATCCTAATGATATAAATGATAAAAGCAAGCTAAAAGAAAAAAGAAAGCAACATTCCAACTTGCGAGAGACAAATAGAGTGGAAGAGAAGGGAACCCAAGCAGGAGCCTATCCCTATTTCAACAGCACCCACCACCTTCATCCAATCGCACTCCCCGAGCAACATATCCACATATAAACAAAGAAAAGAAAGAAAAATGACATCTTTTTCATGTATATAATCCAAATCATTACCTAAAAAATTCCAAGAAGAAGCTCATAATAACAGGAGAAAGAAACAAAGACGACGGAAGAAAACAATCTAAAGGGGAAGCACCTTGATCAAAGGTGCACTGATATCTGAGGAGATGAGGCTAAGATCAGGAGCTACAATACCTGGAACAGGGATTCTTCTCTTCTCTTACTAGTCTCCCTTCAACCATACGGTGATGCAGAGAGGTGGGAGAGGGGCAGAGAGCTTCCTGCTACGGTGGATTACCCGCAGAAATAGAGAGAGAGAGAGAGAGGTGATAGACAGAACGCCATTAAAAGTACCTTTCTCATGGAAGATGGAATCGGGGCCCACATGGGCCCACTGTTTCACCAAATCACAAGCTAGGTAGTTTCAACTGTGAATACCAACCGGTCGCATTAGTACTTCTAAATTTTGTATATTAACCCCCCCCCTCTCTCTCTCTCTCTACAGAATGTTGAGTTCATTTCATCTGCAAAATATAGGCTTATTATTGGGTTTAGCCCAACCAATTTGGATAATTTGGCTTAGGTGAAGTTGGCACTACATCCACCTACTCTTTAACAAATCAAACAAGATCATCAATTTGGATTGGGTTATGCATTTAAATTGCAGAAATTGGAAGTTGAGACAAGAACAAGGTATGAGGGCCAACTAAGAACATGTGGCCTTTGTTTATGCACACACTTGCACATATTCAAGAACAAATTAAGGAAGAAATAAATAATAAAGCCTCATGTTGTGTTATTTTACCAAAATGGTTGAAAAGCTTGTGTTATTTAAGATGAATAAATTATAATCTATTGTCATAAATTCCTCCAATGCTAATATAGGGTATGATCATATATGTTCTAATTATTTTATCGATATATCGACTAATGGATCACGAGGTCTAAATATTTACAATAAATTTATATTATTTTTATTATATTATTAATTTAAGCATAAAAAATATTATTGAGAGATAATTATGATTTTCTATAAAATATAATTAATAATAAAATATAATTTTTATTTTGTTCATATTTGGGGAGTAAAAGCTCCAAATACTTTTAATTATAATTCTTGCCCCACTTAATGGGTGAGCAATGGAATAGTTTGGTTTTGCTTTAACAAAATATGTATATTATTGATAATATGAATATTATTAATCAATTTACCTAAAAAACCTTAAACTGATAATAAAATATGAATATTATTGATATATAATAGCTACCATTTGCTTATAGTTGTTGAAGAGCAACCATTGCAAATAGAGGATGGAGTACCAACAAATCTGGATTTTAGGCAAGAAAAATAGATGATAAATTGAAATATGAATTAATTAGTACCATCTCATTACCTTAAGTGGTACAAATAAATTATTTTTATTTTTGAAATATATTATTGATATTTTTTATTACGCCATGTTGAATGTGTCTTTGAATTTTTCAGTATGTTTTTTTATTTTTGGACTCTCTCTCTCTCTCATATCTCCAAATTAATCTGCTTCCAATTTTTCCTTTATCTTAAAATCCTTCCACCCTAATCTTTCCTTTTCTCTACTTGTGATCTTATTGGAGATAGACGCTCCATATCACGATTTGGTGCAGTTGGCCCCATTTGACTTCTTCAATCATTAGGCAGGTAGCTTTTGGGTAATCAAACTTCGGCACCAAAACTGTTGCTCGGAGAAGTTAAGTGCGTTTTCTTTCACCAATTTTCAGCCGTTCTTACCCGTGGGTAAGACAAACGATTGGAGATCTTGACGGGGACCACCTAAAACTATCAATTTGTACTCGTGCCGTGTCAGTAGGGTGAAAATTGGGTAGAAAACTCGCGCTTGTTGTCCTTTTTTTTGCCCTCCCGATACGAACCCAAATCCCAAATCTTATCCAATTCTAATTAATATTCTACCGTTTTGAAATATCTACGTTTGCTCGATAAAATTCACCCCACAATCCATCGGGTCTCCTACCTTCACCCCATCTCTCTTCCTCACGCACACATTGGCTTCCATCATCGAAAGATCGAGAAGGCTTCGCCATGGCTGGTTTGCTCCCAAGCGACGCCCTTTTCCTCGGATTCGACAGCTCAACCCAGTATGCTCCTTCTTCCACATCCGTCTCTGACATTTTCCAGAAAGTCTTTGTTTTGAATCTGTAGGATTGTCGTAAAGTTGAAATCTTTCGGGCTTATTTGCTGTGAATTTAGTCTTGTGGTTACCTAATCTTAGTTTCGAATGGAATGCTCATTGCTCGCGTTCGGGATTTAGGATTTTGTTCCGATGATGTACCGCCTGGAATTAGGGCTTTCGCGTTTGATGTTCTTTGGGATGGAAGTAAGGGGATCTAATTAATGTTTGGTTTTCCTATAATGAGATTATCTGGTATTTTCAGAAAAGGTGATATTTTGATACCCAAATCTTGGATCTTGAGAAGGCCTGTTACTCGTTTGCAGTATGTCCAAGAGGTCTTAGTCACGAAACCGATTGAGATATTCAATGTACTTATACCTCAACCACCTGCGGAACTTTTTTAAGATCGGGTTACCAGCAGTATATTGTATTCTTATTGAATTAGTAGTCGAGAGATGCTGATCATGAAACTGAGTCAAGTACTTAATCTATTCTTACCAAGATTGTAATGCATTGCGTTGTTTGTGATTTTCTAATGAACTAATGACTTTAGAAACTCTTTGAATATTGGAGGTGGAATGTTTTTTTTTCCTGTTATCTTTGTTTAAGTTAGAAATAAAATTGATGATTATCAAGTTCCAAGGAACTAATTCATGTTTTTTCAGAATTTACTATTTTGTTCTTGTAATAGTTTCCCTTTCCGAATAGTCTAAGTCATTGCCAAAAAAATCAATTCAGGTCACTTAAGGCTACCGTGTTGGATGGCAACCTTGTTATTGTCGATTCGGAGAGTGTGCATTTTGATACTGAACTGCCACACTATAGGACCAAAGATGGGGTATACAGGGACCCTTCTGGAAATGGTAGGATTGTTTCTCCTACCTTGATGTGGGTGGAGGCTCTGGATGTCTTACTTGAGAAACTGAAATCCAAAGTGGACTATGGTAAAGTAGTGGCTATATCAGGGAGTGGACAACAGCATGGAAGTGTCTACTGGAACAAGCATGGTAAAGCCATATTAACTTCTTTGGATCCTAAGAAGCCATTACGGATTCAACTGGAAGATGCTTTTTCGGTGAGGGAATCACCCATATGGATGGATAGTAGTACTACATCACAGTGCAGAGAACTAGAGAAAGCTGTTGGTGGTGCTTTAGAGTTATCAAAACTTACAGGATCTCGTGCTTATGAGAGATATACTGGGCCTCAGATACGCAAGATATATCAAACACAACCAGATGTTTATAATGACACTGAGAGAATCTCTCTTGTTAGTTCTTTTATTGCTTCCATTCTAATTGGAAACTATGCTAGTATTGATGAAACTGATGGAGCGGGGATGAATTTGATGGATATCAAACAGCGTGTCTGGTCAAAGACTATTTTGGAGGTTTGTTCTATTAATATTATTCTCTGTTTTTAAAATGAGACAATTATAACTGTAACAACTGATAATACCTTATTGGTAGGCTACAGCACCAGGTTTGGAAGAAAAGCTTGGACACTTGGCACCTGCTCATGCGGTTGCTGGTTTGATATCTTCATACTTTGTTGAGAGGTAATTGCTGGTTTGATATATTCGTATCTGAGAGTTAATCTCATTAGTCTGATTAATTTTGTATTTGTGTAGATTCATACTTGGGATGTTGTCACTGTTCATAGGCTTTCAGTTGAACTGCAATGTTTTTATGATTTTTATATTCCCTATGTCAAATTGAAGGATGGAAGTTACAAATGGTGGCTTGTAATATTTCTGGCTTTACCTTCTATCTGCTCTGCAGATATACATTGCAGTGATTTCTGCAGTCCCAGTGAAGGTCTTAACTTTTGCTGCCCCACTTTTACACTGGATGCTGTAACCTATTGATCATAATTTGATAAACCACATTTTGAGTATGAATTAACCTATTAACACAACTCATTCAATATAATTTCCCAAGTTCTAAGAGAAGCCTGACTAACCATAAGGTTGTGTAATTAAGGTTTCATAGAAATTGTAATTTGGGATGAATTCATTCTCTTGGAAGGCTTTTATTATTTAGTTTTGTTGTTTATATGGAGAGAGAATTTATGGCAGTGTATTAGAGATGTAGTCTGCAGTCTGACAAATTTTTGCTATGTTTTAGTTCTCCTATTTACTGTGATGTTGTATTGGCACTCAGGCTCTATCCATGTGTGGTAGTTTAACTCCAAACAATGGTTTACATGTTTTCTTCTATTGACATGTGCCACTGTAAATGGAAGACCAATTAATCTCTGGATGCAAAAGAAGAACAACTTATAAGATCCCAACAATTTCGGGCTGATCACTTGAATCTAAATTGAGATTGGTTGGGGACACTCACCATTTTGAGTTAGAACTATCATTTTTCTTTTATGCCTAATAAATTTGCTTCAGATATGAATTTATTAAATTCATCTTAGAGTTTGGAATTTTTTCTTTTAAAGAAATGTTAATGTATGGTTAATTTTATTTGCCAAAATTTTCTTTAAATATAGTTCTTCACATCTTTCCTTGCCACAAGTTGTTCTGAACGATAAATTTGCAACAGTCGATATCAACCAGAAATCTGCCATTTATTAATTGCACTGAACTTTGCAGGTTCCACTTTCAAAAAAGTTGTATAGTTATTCAGTGGTCTGGAGACAATCCTAATAGTCTTGCAGGTGTGTGACTTATCCTATACTTGCATGTGTCAGTATCACCGACTTCTTAATGCTGCATGGTTATAGCGGTGCATTATGATATATAGATTAATTGCAAAGGACAGTGAGTATCCTCTACAACCCAGCTTGTAGAGATCAGCCTGAAAATGTGGCAGTCTTGTAATTTTCCCATTTTTAAATTGTAATATCCCTTATATCCTTATGGCCACTTTCCTTATTTGATTTCATTTGGAAGTTACACTCACTTCCAAACCAATATGAAGGTGATGTGTCGCTGTATTCTCTACAATCAAGGTTGTATTGGATTTGAAACACATTTAAAACAATTTATCGGTTTAACCTTTTTCTGGGTGCTGCACAGGTTTGACTCTCAATACTCCTGGCGATCTAGCTATTAGTCTTGGAACTAGTGATACAGTAAGTTGCCATTTCTGAATTTTCTTTCATGTGGGATGCTACAGAATGCACAGACTAACACAGGATGACTTCTGTTGTCTTTGACTATTTCCTTGCTCCTGGTTGTTTAGGTCTTTGGAATAACTAGTGAGCCTCAGCCCAGTTTAGAAGGACATGTGTTTCCAAACCCTGTTGATCCAAATTGTTATATGGTTATGCTGGTTTATAAAAATGGTTCACTTACCCGAGAAGGTGTTGCTTTTGAGTGTTCACATCTTCTTTAATCTGGAAATGCCTCCAAGTTAAATCATAATTAACTTCATGATTTGGACATGGGCACAGATGTGCGTAATCGGTGTGCAGAAAGCTCTTGGGACACTTTCAACAAGTATTTGGAGAGAACACCTTCTTTAAATGGTATTTGCTTATTCTCGGATAATGCTGTTAATTTTATGCTTGTCTTTTGTACTCTTACTTTTGGTTCATTCTCATGGAAGTGGATTGGAGACCTTAGATATTAGGAAAATTATGCTTGAGATTTACATCAATCGATAGAGGGCAAGTGGCAATGTCGATAAGTTCTACTGATTATGGCATGCTGATAGGATTACTTGCTTTTTTGCAGCACATTTTTCTCTTAAATTCTTTGTTATGATATGCTTATAAGTTATAAATTTAATGTTCATTTTTTCTGGAAGATATCTTACTATCTGAACTACTGCTCTCCTTTAGGAGAACAGAACTATAGACATCACCCTGCTATTTCGAGTTCAATGTGCATGCACCAGCTTCTGTTTTACATATATCATTTTAATTCTTATGCCTTTTAACATACTAGTGAAAACAAAATTGCATTTTCTGTTGAAATCTTCTTAGCCTTGTTATTGTTTTCTAACAGGTGGAAAATTAGGATTCTACTACAAAGAGCATGAGATTTTGCCTCCCCTCCCAGGTAATTGACAACTTACATCTATTTCCTCCATTATGTAATTTCTTCTGTGGTTCTTTAATTTTCAAATGTAGTTTGTGCAATTTGTATTCTGACACGGTATAATATGTATAAAGTTGGATTTCATCGTTATGTGCTCGAAAATGTTGACTCATTAAACGAGACAAAAGTCCTTGAGGTCCAAGAGTTTGATCCTCCATCAGAGGTTGGTAGATGTCATAGTAATCTTTGAAAGTCAACAGATGACAACCTATGGGATGCTAATCGGAATGGCAACTTACTGATGTAGGTGCGTGCAATTATAGAAGGCCAGTTTCTTTCAATGCGAGGTCATGCCGAAAGGTTTGGTATGCCAACTCCTCCAAACAGGATAATAGCAACTGGTGGAGCATCAAAAAATGAGAGTATTCTTAAGTCAATAGCTAGCATTTTTGGTTGCCCAGTCTATACAGTACAACGACCTGGTAAGTAAAAAAAGCTTCTGCTGTTTTTGTGTCTTAACCCTATTTGGAAATTTTACTAATGTTATGCCTATTGCCTGCCTTAGGTAACCTACATTTGTGTTTATGCAATTTTGACATAATTTTTGCTATTTAGTTTGGTTTTATGAGTCTTTTGGGTTTCTCTTTCCTATCTCAGCTGTTTATAATTTTACTATATTCATAAGGATCAAAGAGACTATTAATGGGTAATCAGTAACCCAAGTAGCTTTTGTCAGCCAGGCATAATTAGAACAACCCCAGCTCCTGACACAGAGAAAACAGGATAGAAGTGCTGAAGATAAATCTTGGCATCAAATATAATTGTTTTATTTAATGACAGGCTGAGAATTAATGCAAATTTGATATGTTTATTTTGTGATTCTGATTACTATTATGTAAGTAATTCGTAGCTAACACTTTAATTATTGGACCTTTTATCAACGATTGTAAACCACTGATATATTTTCTCAAATGTGAAAAAGAAACAGTAGAATGAAATTCCATTCTAAATGTTATGGATCTGTGCCTTTACTTTTTAGTTAATTACTTAATTTTTGAAAATATAGAATTCTTCCTGTACTTCTCACCTGTTATTTGCAATACATTTAATATATACTTGTGGAAACCTCTTCAATCCACATGTTTTCTGGTGTGTTGACACATTTATCTTCCATTGTATGGATTTCAGTTCTGTATCACTAAGCATGCGAATTTCTGTAACTTATGGTAGACCTTTGTGGTTGGTGTTTGGATAGCTAAAAGATGTGAAAGGGTGCGGCATATATCTAAGAGTTATCATGTGACATGCAAGTGATACATCATTCAATCACAATAAAGAAAATGTCACCTTTAAGTTATTAATTCCTAATATGTAGCTTAAAGCATTCTGATGCTAGCAAGCAATTGTTTATGACCTTGCCAATCTTATGTGGTGAAACATTCTTTTCACAATTGTTCATAGGGTTTTTATCAGCTGGACTTTATTATGCAATCAGTCTTTATTATGCCATATTATTTAACTTCAGGACTACAAATATGTCAGGCTGAATTAATATAGAATTATGGAAACTTTCACCTTCATTAATTCTCGCTTTTCTTGAAACATCAAGTATCACACAAGAACCATATGAACAAGAGGACAATCTAAACCGACAATGTAATAATTATTTAGTGATTTTACCTTCTTGGCAACTTTGTTGCTAATTCAGGTTGCAGGTCTGTTTTAGTGCCTATTTGCTTTTAGTTTAGTTTTATGTGCATCAAAATGGTTTTCCTATAAATGAGCTTAATTTTTTATCATTTTCTATTGTCTTTTTATGATGAGTAATCTTCTGTCTTGTTCCCCAGATTCTGCTTCCTTGGGAGCAGCTCTAAGGGCTGCTCATGGATGGTTGTGCAACAAGGAAGGTCGATTTGTGCCGATCTCATGTTTGTATGGGGACAAGCTTGACAAAACATCTCTGAGTGCAAAGCTTGCGTTCCCCGCTGGCGATGCTGATCTTCTCTCCAAGTACACCGTGCTGGTCAATAAAAGAATGCAGATTGAGAAAAATCTTGTGGAGAAGTTGGGGCGAAGTTAGTCTGGCCAATGCTAATTTGTAGTTGTAGGTTTCATGGGCATCGTAATAAAGTCAGAGGATGGAAGAACAATGTTGGACAGTGTTTAAATAAGTGTACAGAAAATGAACTATTTGAACACAGTTTTGACAATAACAATTACTAATTTAGATGTTCTCTGTTGTTGCAGAGAAAAAGAATTCAAGTGATTGTTTCATTAGATCAGTCCTTTAGGCACTTATTAGTCTAAATATTGTCTACTGCAATGGAAGATGTGTAATCATCAAACTAAAGGGATATTAGAAGAGGAAGAAGATGATTTGTCTCATCTCATTCTTCATCAGAAATATCTCTGTTCACCGGAAAAATCCAGTCTTTATTGGATTTGGTTACCCCACTTATATATGGTAGAGATAAATTCTCGGAATACTTTTGTCGCATTAAAAAAAAAATTCTTCCTAATAATCGAGCTGTAAAATGTTATAAAAAAAAGACCTTTTTATAAGTGGTTTGGCAATGTTTCATTAAGAGAAACAAAGGAAACTGATGATGAAAAAGACTAGAGGGAAGCCGAATGGTTTGCTGACTCTTTCAGTTGGAACAAAGAGAAGAAGGCAATGAATGGTTGCTTCCCTACGACTTCATTGTGAAGAGGGGGAGGGGGGGTGTGTCTGTCTTTAGAACACACACTGCATTCATTGGTTGCTCATCAAAGGATGATCCATGCCCTCATTGTAAGTACTAGTAAAAGTGATCAAACATATGTGTGATCACAGACAAGAAGAAACAAAAGAAATGATTGTTTTTTCCCCTCTATTATTATAGAGAGTTGTTCTTTACAAGATTGTGATCTTTATTTGGATAATTACTACTAGGAATTTTCTTAAGAATCACAGCTACATGTGATAGAACTCATCAACAGATGACAAGCTGTCATGGTATCTATAAAGTACAAGAAAGCTAGCTGCAGGCAAACAAGAAATATGAAATGAGGATCTGCAATCTGGACATTAGAATCACTACAAGTTTTGATCCCCATCAAGCCATCTGCCAGCAGCATTCACAACCAAAATGAAACACCAAAATTGTTGTGCATAACCCCTGCGCTGTGGATAAACACTAAGAGAGAACTTGCAGTCAACCATGCAAATAATATACCCGAAGCAAGTTGCAGGAAAGTGGGAGCAGTGGTTATGGAGATTCTTAGAGAGAGATGACTTAGTTTTCTTGACCATAAGAAAGAAGGAGCTCTTCAAGTACTAAACTTGTACAGTACCACCTATTAGTTCTGGCTTTCCGAGTCTACTGACAAGAGAGAACACCACAAACTCCTTTAGTCTCCTCACACATCGACTCTAGGTCAAAGCAGATTTTAGCTTCCTCACAAGATCCTTCGCTGTCATGGAAAATTTCTCTTCTATCTGTTACATCAAGAGAAGTGAACTGGTTGAAGTTTATTGTAGAGATCAAGCTTATAAGAACAGGAAAGATAGGTCTTGCCTGTGCTGTCACTGTAATGTTGATGGAGGAGCCTAGAAATGGCATGACATTGGTGTTGGTTATGGTGAGGTTGAGGTGCTCGATCTCGGACAAGATCTTCACAAGAACTCCTTTGCGGTTCTCGCAGTGGATTCTCACGAGCACCATCTTCCCGGAAACCTTTGCTTCGATCTCAGGGAAAGGCTTCTGCCATGGTTGCCCATCGAAGTTCTCATCAGAGGACGAGCCACCATCGTCATCAGCAGAGAGCTGAGCCTTCGTGACGAGGACGACGGACTCGACAGTCCTTTCCATGTTCTGGTCTTCCAGGGCCTTCACCCTTCCTTGAAGCTCTTTGAGGTATCGCACTGCGTCGCCAAGAATTGAAGCTTTGTCTGCCTAGCAAATGGATGAACTGCACTCAGATCTGTCTATATATGCACCGAAAGAATGCAACACAACTCGAATGGTTTAATCAAGTGTTTATTGTCCTATTATTATTTCATGCAAAGAACAAAGTGAAATGAGCATTTCGATCTCTTCTTTTCTTGTTTCCCTGTGATAAGAAGTTCTTCGGCAGGTGGAGATACCTTCTTGAGGCCAGGGATGATGGCCGAAAGTGCTATAAACTTCTGGTTGAGCTTCTCCCTTCGATTCCGCTCCGCGATGATGTGCTCCTGAGCTTGAGACAGTGTTGCTCGCTGAAGAAGCGTTCCATGCCGCTGTTTGGAACCACCGGGAGCACAAACCCTAATCCCTTCCTTCATCTTCACAGCTCTTCCAGGGACACTATCACTCTGTGGACTTGGTTTGGGCAACAGGAGAGATGGTAGGGATGAGCCACCGGGATCCATTTTTCCTGCACCGGGTGAGAAATCCCAGCTGATGATCTCCTGACTCATACTTGACCCTGCAACAAACCCTGGGCTGCTGCTCACAGGACGGAAAGGCGGAGAGGTGTGGCTCTCGGAAGAGAGGGACTGTGGAATTAAGCCTCTCCCAGGTGCAGGTGCAGCTTGTGGGATGTCTTGATTGGGTGATGCTATCTCCCACTGGCGAAGAAGGTTGGACTCATCCATTCCCTGCAGATTATGATTTCTCTTGATGCAAAAGTTTGTGCAAAGTATCGATGCATGCATGCAGTTCCAAAGAGGTCGATGGCAGTAGGCTTACACTTTGTGTGAACCAATTATTCCATGGTGTATCCATGTTCTTCTTCTTTGATCCACTTCCTTCAACGAAGATGATCCTGAGACAAACCACCAAGAATATGGATGTTACACACAAACAATAAGTAACAAGGGAAAGAGGGATGAATTAACAGATAAAAGAGATCAGATTAACTTCCCCCACCAAAGCAATTAAGGCAGGATGCTGATCGATATAATTAAACTTCACCTTCCATATCATCAATTACCTCTTTCTCTCTGGCTGAAGATATCAAAGAACAAACCCCACCTTCTTCTTCTTCTTCTTCTTCTCTCCCAGTGGAAGCACAAGACTGCTCTAATATTGTATCATCTTTGATTTAGGTAGAGTCGTCTCCTCGTGTGAACATCCCCTGGTGTTCCCTTTTATCTGTTTATTTGGAGTCTCTCTCTTCTCACACTCCAAGCTTTTAATTTACATGATGTTATCTTGACTTTATAATGGTATATAAGACAAGTATATGAACTTGGTCAAGGAAACAACTAAGAATATATACCTGCGTGTACAAGAACATATCCAGATATGTTATATTCACAACAATAACTAGAAGCTACTACAGAAAAATCTGGTGAAGAAAGAGACGCAATTCACCATCTTAAGAACCCAAGCATCCCATCAGCGTTTGGTGGCATCAGCAGTGTTCTCAAGCTCTTCTTGTGCTGTTGTATGCGGTGATCCTCACAATATTGTCAAGGAGATCTTTTAGTATCTCATTCATGCATATAGTAATCATGTCTGGTGTTAGTGGAAGACATTGAATACATCAGAAATGGGTCAAGCTGTCCACAATCATATGGTGGTCATATGAACAGATCAAATGGCTTCTGTGAATTGCTTTTGTGAGGATGGATGATATGGAATATAATGAAAACTTTGCAGTATCTTCCACAAGTATCACATGTCAATTCAATTTTTCTATGATTCAGTTGTTGACAGTGATCATTACTCCACCACAAGACTTGCAAGTAATCAATCACCTGTTTCCTATTTTCTTGGAGTTGTGAACATTGATCACCTTCATGAAATCAGAAAGAACATGCAGAAGCTGTGGTAACATTTATGGTTGAAACTGGAAGCCAAATGCCAGACATGGAACCCATTTCAGAAAGTGATGGAATGAGTACAAAAGATATGAAGTTGGGAAAAGATAAAGATCAAAGGCCAAACATACACTACAAAACCAAAAGCCTTCCTATTCCTCTTACCAAGGAATCATTGTATAAACCATGATCTCCTGTCAAATGAATGCAATAAATAATGGTACCATCTGTTCTTGGCTTTTAGCTTTGGATTACAAAGGAAGCAGCCATCATGCTTTCAGGGGAATGATTAGACAAATCACAGTGTATCTGTAGCAGATCTCTTATTAAATTTCATTACGATGGAACTAATCCATGACTTTGCAACTCATTTTATGCTCCTCATGTGCCTTCCACCAGCAAGGACAGGCTGCAATCATACTTGTACCTAAGAATTCATTTGGTCATAACATTATAGCTCACATGTCTCGTGGTATCAGAGAAGAAGATTTGCTACGGAATCAAGTGGTAGTAACAAAGAGGGATCCATGCACTAATATAAACAGGAGTAGCTGCAAAAGGAGATATAATTAAGTGATGAAGGCATACCAACCAACATGATATCTCTCGAGGCATATCTTCCTATGGATGATGATCAACAAAGAGGCAACACAGCCAAGAAAGTAATCACAACCTACGAAAAGTTATTGCAAGGCTCTAATCCATATACAAACCTGCTCTACTCATATATTATCTAATAATATGTGTGCTGTTCTTTGGTCTTCTTCTTTTTTTCTCTAATAATATGTGTACTGCAAGAAAGTCTTAGACTGTCTAAGCTTATCAACTTAGTGTTTCATGAAACCTATGAAAGTTGAGAGGACAACAACTCCACATTCTTTTCCATCTCTTTGACCAAATGGATTATATGGTTACATGAACTACATCAAATATGAGCATCAAAATTAATAGATCACACACTACTTTGTTGCTGTTAAACAAGCAGTAAAAAGAGGGAGAAAAAAGCTACTTCAATGAATATAACATTATGTTAGCTTAGATTATGCCCCATGTATAAAATTGTCTCCACATTCTCACTTTAGAAACATTATTTTAGCAGTAAAATTTAGTTCATATGTGCTAGCTTACATTATGGTCCATGTCCTTCTTTTGGCTTCATTGTATTTGTTATGTGCTAGCTTAAGATATGTACTATGGTTCCATAATTTGATTTTGTGGGTGAAATAAATTCTAGGCAAAACCAAAAAATAAAAACACTGCCTCTTTAGAACATGTCATGCTTGCATCACAATTAATAATAAAAAAGAAACTCCATATTTTGGTGAAATGTGGTAATTTAGGTTTAGCTTAATTAAAGAGGATCTTGATTTTGTGTGTAAATATTCTAAAATAATAAAAAGGAATATATATATATATATATATATATATATATATATATATATATATATATAAAACACAACATGTTCGAACGATTTCTTGTTCCAGCCCAGACATGTTCCAGGTATTTGTCCCGATCAAAAGCTGGCTTATTAGAGCCCATTTTTCCATCTATTGGGCCTCACCCAATAAAAGCCCAACCAAATCACCGTACGCGTTTCGCCACAGGAAACGGATAAGGGCCGATCTCTCCCCCCTCCCTTTGAGAAGGGAAGCGAAGGGAGGAGGCAAACTCTGCGAGATGATGCTGTGCCATGGCCACCGTCACCAACCCACCGTCCTTCTCCCCTCGCATCTCCCCCCAAACCCTAACACTGTCCTCCCGGTTTGCGGTACTCTCTTCTCCCGCAAGCCCCTTCTCTTTTCCTCCCTCCGCGCCGCCCTCGACTCCAAGCACCACCTCCAACCCCTGGGACCGGACGCCGAAACGGACCCCCCTCGCCTCTCCCGCCGGCAGAACGCCCTCCTTCTTGACCGTTCCCATTCTCACCCCATCGACGGACCTCCCATCGACGACGAGGAGCGGGAAGATGAGCTCACGAGGAAGAAGGTCGTCGAGGAGTACTCCCTCGCCACCCGGAGGGTCCCTAGGTTTCCAGGCTCCGTTGACTTCCCCCGGGCCGGGGGCCTCGACCTGCCGCCGCCTGATCTCCGGCGTGTGTTCGATGGGGATGATCGGTCCCTCAAACGCGCCCTTGAGGTTCGGCGAGGGGTTGCCGCCGAGACGCTGAAGGATGCCCTGCGAGCCGGGAAGATGAGCATCAACTACTCCACGAATCTTGTCTCTCGATTGACGGAATTTGTGGACCGGGTCGTGATCGGAGCCGCGACGTTGAAGGCGGTTCCGGAGTTTGCGCACCTGTCTTTCAATGCTCGGGCGAAGAGCTACATCCAGAGCTCTTGTGTCGTTTCTCTGGTCAAGTATGCATCTTTCTCTCAATTTTCATAGGATATCAGTCTTTGAGTTTTGATTATGTTCTGTATGCTGTAGGTGGCTGAAGCACAACCATATGACATACCCCCAAATTGCAAAGGTAATCTGTATGTGTCCTGGTGATCTCCAGCTGGTGAGGCGGATAACCGAATGGTTGAAGTCGATTCATGTGAAGGGGGAGTCTATTGGGGTTGTTCTGGTGAAGGCAGGTCCCCTTTTTGAGCACAGTTTGGATGAACTGGAAGAGATTGTTAATTATCTAGAGAATACTGGGGTGAGGAAGGATTGGATGGGCTTTGTTGTTAGCCGTTGCCCCCAAGTTTTGGGTTTGACCATGGAGGAGTTGGAGTCGAGAGTTAAATTTTATTTGGATATGGGGATGAATAAGAAGGACTTTGGCACAATGGTCTTCGATTATCCAAGGGCCCTCGGATTTTTCAGTTTGGAAGAGATGGCTAATAAGGTGTTTGTGCTTCGTGAGTATTCTTTTTTTGTTTGTTTGATTGTTTTTTTCTTTTTATCCATTGTTGGATCTGAAATCCAACATATGACTGAAACATATTCCAGAGAGGATTGCCCGAAGCAGCAATCAATGACAAACATGTCCAAAGTGTTTTGCTTATTTCAATATATGAAGTTTTTTAAATTTGGAACTTTAGAAAATTGAGTCTTTGGTTATCATTGTAAATGTTGTCATCTTTGTTCCAGGTTCAGTACCTTAAGGAGTTTGGACTAAGCACAGAAGATGTTGGACGATTATTAGCTTTCAAACCACAATTAATGGGTTGCAGCATCGAGGAAAGGTGGAGACCTCTGGTGAAATATTTATATTACCTTGGTGTTCAACGTGATGGGATGAAGAGAATACTAATTGTAAAACCTATGGTTTTCTGCATTGATCTGGAGACAATTATTGCTCCCAAGGTATGATTTTCGCAATATTCTGTTATCATTATTGAATTCTACATACCTCTTGCTTTAAGCTTTATGATTCTAATCTCCAGTACAGTGCTGTTGCATTAAGGGACTATGGAAATTTAGACATCATAAGATATCCAGAGAATGTTTCTATGTTTTTCCATCATATTAATGTTTTCACTTGTCTGTGGTTTTCATGCCATTGTTCAGGTGCGATTCCTACAGGACATAGGAGTCAGAACTGAAGCCATTGGTGGCGTCCTTGTCAAGTTTCCTTCGTTTCTAACATATAGCCTGTACAAGAAGATACGGCCAGTGGTTTGTTCTTTTTTGTTATTTTCTTCATTTTGTCATAAAATTCTAGATATTTCATGAAACTCTGAATGAGGGTGAACCTTGGCACCTGAGTTAGGTTGTCATTTTATGACTAGGTTTAGGTCATGGAAATAGTCTTTCTACTTGCAAGAGTAAGATTGCATATATCAACCTTTCCTAGTTCTCTTATTAGTGGGAGTCTCATTTAGTAGGCCACCCATATATTATGATGCTGTCTGTGGAATATTAGTAATTGTTACTTCTGGTGGTTTGTTGTTTGGATTTCTTCATCAGCACTTGAGTTTCATGTTACTAAGAAGTAAGAACTACTATCTGCTTCCTGTCACATGATGGGTGAGTAAAGGAGCTATGAACTACTACTACTATATATATATATATATATATATATATATATCAACAGCAGTTGAGAAAAGTAGTATCAGGTTGGGGTTAAATTAATGTTGTTCTGATCAGGTTTGTATATTTGGTGATCGATGCAATTAATAGGAACACCCAAAATTTACCTTGATAGATTCTGGTCAATGTGCGTGTAATATCCATTAATTTTAGAGGGGAAAGAAGAATCCTGAATTCTGGGTCATTAACATAAACAATTATGGTTTGTCCATAAAGAGCATGATACAACAACAACCATAAATCCAACAAGGAGGATAGTAGTTATTCTAAAGAAAAGAATCACAGTGACAGTTTCTTGGCTGGTTTGTTCTCCTATGCCTGGAACTTGACCAAATTATTTTTTTAC